ATATGAAATTCTCAAAAATAAAAATTTTTAATTGTAAAACATTATACCATTTGGCTGTGATCTTATTCTGCAGTTCAAGTAGCTTTTAAACTTACAGTCCTTCTGCCTTGGCCTTTCAAGTAACTGGAGTTATAGGCCTGTACCACAGAGCCCGACTTTCTCACCATTCTTATCATGATTCAGTAAGTTAATTTAAAATAAATATCTCTTCATCTGCTCTATGGCATAAGGATAATTTCCAGAGACCTTGACTTAAAAAGTAATAATAGTCAGTTATGTTTATTCTCCAGGAGAACGGACCAGCAGAACTCCTATGCTCAATCCAGCAATCATCTCCAGTATACCCTAAGTTGGATTCTGAATGGCTGTAGGCATGGTACATATTGCCTAGTTGACTATTTATCCATTTCTTTTAAGTAAGTTACATCTTACATTATTTTCTAAAGTCCTTTATAAAATGGCTATGAGCCAGGCGTTGGTGACTCACACCTTTAATCCCAGCACTCGGGAGGCAGAGGCAGGCTGATCTCTGTGAGTTCAAGACCATCCTGGTCTACAAGAGCTAGTTCCATGACAGCCTCTAAAGCCACAGAGAAACCCTGTCTTGTAAAAACAAAAAGACAAACAAATAAAATGGCTATGGACCTGCTAACTCCACACAGACCTTGCTTCATTTTCCTATAATATAAGCCAGTATTTTACATATTACAATATATATTACACATTACATTCATAACTTTGTTTTCTCCTCTCCAGAATGTGAGTCATGTGAGAGCAGGAATTTGTCTGTATTACTCCACATACCCAGAGCACACCCTAGTTCTTGGTTCTGTGTGGCAAATATTCAATAAATGTCAAATGCATGAGAGTGAGCTCTTTCTCATTTGAAGCAGGCATTTATCAATATTATCCTCCTCTTAAGAGTTCCTGATAACATTCAACAAAAAATGCATCTTCCCAGGCTCTCTTATAGCTATTTAAGGTCAAGTGACCATATTTAAACAATGAATTAAAATAGAAATGTTATATTGAACATTTAGTGAATTCTGCATTTGCTTTCTATGGCTTCTGTGGCAAATTATCCCAAATGTGGTGTGTGTAAAATGATGTATTTTTATTCTCCTATGGAAATTCAAGATTGATTTCAATGGGATAAAGTCAGAAGGTTAGGAGGACTGCAATTCTTCTGGCTGCTCAAGTGAGAATTAACTTTCTTGACTTATTCATTTCTGAAGCTGTATTATTTGATCCTTTTCTCTCTTTTCAAAACCAACAGTGTAGACTCTCACTTCCATCTGGTTCTGCCACAGTGAGATCTTCCGCCACCTCTCTCTTACAAGGACACTTGTGGTTAAAGGACAATCTCATTTCAATAGCCTTAACTTAAGCATACCTACAGAGTCTCTTTTCCAAGTTGATGGGTGTGATTGATTAGGACATAGATGTCTTAGGGATTCACTATTCAGTCTCCTGTAGATCCTATCTGAACTCAGCATGTACTTGATGGAACTCAAGGTGCTGTGTAGGCCATGAGGACCGCAGAAATAAATGGAAGACACCAGTCAGACCTGCAACTTTGCCTGGCTAGTACAGTGTGGCAGAAGTTAAGTTGCTTTGCCTCCAAGCATAGGTCTCAAAGGCCTTACACTTCTCTTTAACACCAATAGGAGAACAAATTGAGCAAGGCCTGTTGGAAGAAGCTATGTGGTCCAGTCATTACAATGTCTCAAAGTAAAGATGGACAGCCACTAAATATGTGAGCATGGCTGTCTTTGACCATCCCATCTCAGTCAACCTTCAGCTGACCAGAGACATATGGCCTATCCAATTCAAGATCATCCAGTCCTGGCACAGACCATCACAAATGATCAGACCCTAAGTCACAATAAATTATTACTCTAAACTTGCTGTGTGTGTGCGCGCACGCTATACTAAAGATGACTAAAGAGAAGCATCAAAAAGTGCTCTCAATGTAAAGTAAAACAACCCAAGACTTATTTACAATTCAGTTGTGAATTATATTTTTACTTCATCTCAGTGTAACACACATAAGCTATCAGCATGCAAGACAATTTAAAAATAAGACAAACTTTGATAAGAAATTTAATAAGAACATATTCCAATCAATGTATATTAGAAAACAATGGTCTTTCTTTCTGAATAAAAGCCATATAGAGTTTTTGCCCCAAGTTACTAAATTGAAAAAGTACCCTACTTAGAAATATGAACTAACAAGTAGAGCTGTTTAAGCAGCACCTGAAAAAGCCTGGGAAACTTGGAAATGAATGTTTCAGGTTCACAGGAATACTGCAGCATCACAGCTGACCAGGGGTTGCCTGTGCTGTTTAACCCTTAAACAAGGCACCTCACATAAGCATTAGACAGACATTCAGAATGGCACCTAGAATGAATTTATGTTCCAAATCTGAGGTAACAAGACTTAGGTCTGCAGAAATGAAGCAAGAGTTTTGCCTGATAATTCAGTTCTATGACCTGGTAGGCATCTGTATGTGGCATGTATGTATGCAGACATACATCTCTGGTGTTTATGCAAGATCTTATCTGAGGATCTCATTACCCTTCACAGGCTTTAATTAAACGCCACAATACCCCTGACGAAACAGCTATTATTTTAGATGGGTAATTGAGACATTTAATCAAGGCTCCTTAAACAGATGAGGCAATGTGCCTAAGGACAGACAGGAAGCACTTGTCTAAGCTGTAAGCAAGCCTAGAGCCTTTCTCCTTGGTTCTGACTCTTACCACCTCACCAGACAGCCTGGGGGAGCAGAAAATTACCTCCTTTAACCTGCTTTTTGGTGTGAAATTGCCTCTCCCTAGACTCCTGGCTGCGTTGTAAGGAAGCCTTTTGCTTGCCTTTCCCCCGCCTCTTTCCTGTCATGAATAAGTTCCTGTTCTTTGTGTAGTGAGGATCCCAACAAAGGTCTTTTCAGAATGATCTACCTGAGACACTGAGGCAAACATGAGAGTCTCTGATATTAGGGAACATTTCAATCCTTATCTTAAAGAGTTTTTTCAATGTAAACATGCTAGAAGCTCTGTGCATTCCCTGCCAGGGGTAATGATGCATGGCCAAACATCATCTTTGGCTCATTTAGACTTCCTGGAACCACGGGTTCAAATCCTATCAAGTCAACCTGGCCTTTATTCTTCTAAATTAGTTAACTGGAGCAGAAGAGCTTGTCTGTAGAACTTCTTGGCTAAGAGTTGTGGAAATCAACCATCTAATTTTGATGTGCTGGCTTGTTGCTACTTTAAGGAAAGTTGCTGAGTTTACCTTGGACCACTAGATCAAAGCTGAATACTGCTAGTTAAGCACCTCTTTAAAAGGACTCATAATATTTGTTTTTGGAAACTTCAGCCAGGATTTTTAATAGCAGCTGTACATGAATGTTCTCTAGATGCTTAGATTAGTTGTTTTGTATTATGCATCCTGCAGTGAAACACAGACACAAACATGCATACAAACAAATGCATATACTTATTCACATAAGCACACCTTCACAAATGCACAAAAGCATATACACATGCAAACACATAAGCAAACATACACACATACAAACACACATAAACATGCCTGCAAACAGATTCATAAACATATACACAAATACATTCACATATATGTACATACACATAAATACATAAGCAAATGCATGCATATACACAAACACATTCACATACATGTCCATATATACAAACACACATACATACAAACACATAAGCAAATATACACATACATAAATACATACACACAAACACACACAGTCATACATACAAATGTATTCACATATATGCACATAAACACATGCATATGTATGCATATACACACAAGGACACTCATTTACAAACATATAAGCAAACACACACACTTGCTTTGAGACGGTGTCTTCTAGAAGTGACAGTGATGCTTTATCCACCAAATCTCAACAAGACCTGCAAAGTGATCACACACACACACACACACACACACACACACCACCACCACCACCACCACCACCACCACAAACAATAACAACAAAAAGAAATAACGCCCTCACTGTGATAGAAGTGAACTCACATAACTCTTGTAGCCTGGGAATTGAAGGAGGCACCTTTAGCAAAATGATACATAGAAACCAGACCTCTGTATCATATAGACCATTAATTCAAAGGTTCCAAGGTTCCAACCTTCAAGTTGAAAATGTCTGCATTTTTGGAGCTGTTTCTTTTGAGGCCCTGTCATACATGAGCCTTTACATCTTCTCCCCTCTACAAAAATTGGGAAGCAAAATGGGACATAATAAAAAAGTGATTTGACCATCAGGAATGTGTGTATGTGAGAGAGAGAGTCAGAGACAGAGACAGAGAGAGAGAGAGAGAGAGAGAGAGGTTGAGAGAGAGAGATTGAGAGAGAGAGAGAGAGGTATGGTACATGGGAAGGTTTGGGGGGAGGAAAGAGTAGGGGAGATGGTGTAATTTTATTATAATCTCAAAAAAGCATTTAAAAATGATTTGAGTCTATGCCTCTTCACATGAGACCCAAGAAGTCCAACTTGTAAGTCTATGCCTGTGAACCTGCTAAATCTATACTGCCCAATGTAGGAGCCACTAGTCATGTGAAATAATTTGCTTTTAAATTTACATCAATCTCCATATAGTACAATTTAAAGCATCATCCAAAAGTTAATCAGCCACATTTCAATTATGTAGTAACTGCATATAGCCAATGGCTGCCATTTTGGAAAGCAGAGAGTCTTTTCATCATCATGGTGAATTTTCTCTCACAAAGCTGAAAGTGGTTCTTCTGTTGTCTGCTGAGTTGCTGAGCCATCATGATGTAGCAGGCAAAGGAGTTACAGGTTGAGGAATCCAAGACCACATGGAAATACATAGATTAGTAGTTATGGGCTAAAAATTAAGACATAGCTAGCCAATAGAAGCCATAGCCAGCAGCCAACAGTTTCATAATTAATATAGTGTCTGTGTGTTTCTTTGGGGCAGAGAAGAGAGGTGGGCCAAACATGGGCCAAGAACTTCACATTTCAAATTGGCCACAAACAACGTGGGGCACGAATTTCCACCACATAAACCTGACAAAAGATTTAAAAGTAATTTTAGAAACAAAAGGACAAAGTCAAGCAAGGCTTCTTGGTAGCAGCATTTTCTCAGGTGGTCTGCATTTTGCTAGAGACAAGCAGAGACTTGCATGACTCCTTTAAGAGAGGTTTCCTAACTCAGCATAAGTGAAAAAAAATGCAATGCTCTTTTAAGAGTCACTGCTAACAATCGAAAGGTATGTACGAGCAGTTGGCAGTGGCAGTGACCACATCTTCAAGCCATCAGCATGCTGCTTGATGACAGCATAGACCAAGGCAGTGAGCACAGCTCCCAGTTCTGGCAGTAAACATACCCCCCCCATCTTGGAAAGACAGCAGTTAAAACAGTTATGGCTTTAATTTGAGCAATGTTGTTTAGCATATAAAAGACACATGGCCAGAAAAAGGTAAAGATTTACAGTAAAGACAGATTCAGATGAAGAATACCCTCTAAAGGTTTATAGTGTGTTTAAAAATATATGTAGGCTTGTGAGAGAAAAGAAACAGATAAAGTAATTAAAAAAAAAAGAAAGAAATAGAGTAGCTGGGTATGGTGGCAAGTGCCTTCAATCCCAGCACTCAGGAGGCAGAGGCAAACAGATCTCTGAGATTTCAAGGCCAACCTGGTGTACAAAATTCAAGGGCAGCTGAAGTTATACAGAGAAACCCTGTCTCAAAAACGAAAAGATAAAAGTAAAAAAAAAAGAGTAATAATAATAAATAAATAAATAAGTCATGTAAAGATGGAAAATACACAGGGAGTCTGGATACTGTATGCTACTGTATTATCATTGAATTGTTCAATGCTAAGTTAGGAGCAACAACTGCTAAAATACACTTGATCACAAATGCTGCTGAATTACTCCAACTTATATATTTTGAAATTCTTTGACTTCAAAATTTAAATCTAAGGATATGTTACTTTGGAAAATAAATTTTATTTGTGTTTCCACCAAAAAGGAAAAGCTGTGGATTCCTTCCAGACTAAGATTGTTTGGTGAAGCAAGACCTCCTGAAGCAGTGCGGGTGAGCCAGCATTCAAAATAGTTGGGACAAGGCAGCCTTGCAGACCACTACAGCCAGGATTTCTGGGTCTTCTTAATATCCCCAAGACAGTGCCCCCAAACAGCAGGAAGCAGTTTGGAGAGAACAACCACATTCCCAAATACTGTTTACAAATGTTTGTTTTCATTTAAATGGGGTTAGAAATGGTAATGATCACAGTCAATCTCTTTTTAAGGAAAAAAAAGGGGGAATATGATACAGAAATGAATACTTTGCATTGGTATGTATTTTCATTTATTGATACAAATTTAAGATCAATTTTGTGTTATATATATATATATATATATATATATATCTCCTCTTAGGTATTGTGTTTATATAGCTCATTTAAAAATGTAATGTATAATTAGGCACAGATTATAGATAGTTACTTGTAATAGTCAAAACTTACAGTTATGTTAGTTAGGTTTCCTATATATACAAAGATATATTTGAGATGGATAATCTTCAAACCTTCCAAAGACCTTCAGATTATGACATATAAAATGTTTTAGGGTTTTTCTTAACAGTGAGACACAACTGCTCCTGGCAATACCACTGCATCACAAAGGAAGGTGGGCAAAAAAGAAACTCCTTATGGAGTTTGTCTTTGACATGGCAAGACTAGCCATTTGGGCAAGAGACAACTCTTGTCTGGATTGTTTGACTGTTACTGAATAAACTGGACATGCAGGACTCACAGGAAAGTGAATGCTGAAACAAGACGGGACATTGCTGCAGGGTTCTTGTTTCATGGAAGAGTCTGCTGGACATTCTACAGGACACAGAAAAATGACTGACAAACTGCCAATACAGGCAGACAGTTTAAAGTTTCCTGCTTTGCTGAGGAATCTGCCAGACAAACTATGGCCTATGGGCTGAAGATGGATGCCCCAATGTTACAAAATAACTTTGGGAGACTCTCCAGGCAGTAAGATGTCTCTGCCAATTCTAGAGATAAGATACTATCTGTGGTTTTTGATGAAGTTGAAGACAGATAGTTATGGTTATAGATTTCCTTAGTTATAATAAAATATAAGTTACATATAAGACTTTAAACTAAAGATAGGATTGATGACAATATTTTCGTTAAATCTTGCTAAATGTTATTGGACTAAATATAGTAACTATAGTCCTTATTTGATAATTGTTTTCTTATATATAATTTTACTATGCCAATGTTAAAACCCTCTTTTTTTTTTGCTTTATCCCTTTATTTTTTTTTTATTCTCCAGATTTATTTTGGTAAAAAAAATCAGATATAACCTTTCAAAAATTACATTAATGTTTAACATGCATTCAAATAACTTTCTTTTTTTTCCAGTTTAAATTTAGATAAGAAACGAGGTTGCTTCACAAGTCAGTTCCAGGTCCCTCTCCCATTCCCTCCCCTCCTCCCGTGCCCTCCCCCAACCCTCCCCCCCCGTTATCCCCTCATTCCCCCAGGGAGGGTGAGGCCCTCCATGGGGGTGTCCAAAAAACTCTCTTTTTATTTAGACAGAAAAGAGGAGATGATGGGGAATGCTCTTCTGTATATATGTTTATCTTTATTGGTTGATGAATAAAACACTGTTGGCCAATAGGGCAGAAAGATAGGTGAGACTAGGATATGAGGAGGATTCTAGAAAGTGTAGGCATAGTGGAATTATCATGTGATCCCAGGAAGTGATGTAGCTGGACAGAAACTGCCACTAGCTAGCCATAGAGGTCTGGAGGTCTGTACAGACAGACAGGAAGTGACATATCTGGGCAGAATCAGAATATAAACAGAGACAAACAGGAAATTGCTCTCTTCTCTATTGAGATGCTGAGCTGTCATCATGAAGCACGCAAAGGAGTTGCAGGTCCAGTAAGCCAAGACCACATGGAAATACATAGATTAGTAGTTATGGGTTAAAAATTAAGGCAGAGCTAGCCTATAGAAGCCATATCCAGTAGCCAACAGCTTCATAAAAAACTCTGCTAAGTGGATAATAGTATGGTGGGAAGAGGGGGATGGAAAAGGGAGGATCCAAGAAACTCATTCTCAGACGATGACAAGGCTGGTTCTGTTTGACCTTCATGTTACAGAGGAAAAATCATGGATGGCCATAAAGATTAGGAACACCCTTGTTAAATATTTATTCACAGGTTGCTCAGTAGATGTCTTCTATAACCTCAACCTTGCATTTATATGTATTAAATACTTGTGGCTCTTCCCAGACAGCTCTTCTTATCCATGGGGTCTTCATCTAAGTATTTAACCACCTTACACTGAAAATGTTCTGAATTAAAGAGATTGCACTAAACTCTTCTCTTGTCATAATCCTCTAAACAATACAGTCTGACAACTACTTATGTACCATTTACATCTTATTAGAGAGTATATATAATCTAGACATGGTTTAAATTTTATGGTAGAATCGCATAGGCTACCTCCAACTATTGGGCCTCTATAGATACTGGTTTGGGAGAGGTGGGACAGTCATAGACCAATCCTTTCAGGGATAAATAGATAATTACTACATGTGCTAGTGAAGGTAGAGGAAGACTATGCTGTCCTTTCTGTCTAACAGGGCTGTTGACTGAACACTACAGATATTTGAGGCTGAGCAATTCTTTGTTGGGGCTCTATCCTAGACATCACAGAGCCTTTGGTAGTATAACTGACCTCTACCCCTGCATGCCAACAGCACTCTTCTCTCCCTGCCCCACGACAATAATGAAATTTTAACATATGGTATGTTTGCTGATGGGGAAAATCTCATTGGGTTAGAACCATGTGACATACAATGCTCATGACATAGAAATATAACCTTAGACCTGACCATAAAGATAAGCCACCTGCTGACTACATGGCATAAATGACATTTGTTTGGAGGAGGCTCACAAAACTACCTCTGCCAGGAGAAGAGCTAACCTTATAAAGTAGCAAAGGGGAGAACCCATTGCCCAAAAGTGTGGTGTGCAGTGTGACTGGGGCTGACATAGCCCGGTGAAGAAATCACGTAAATGCTGTAGCCATAGATGTATAAATAGCCTAATAATAATACCTTTCACTCTCCTCTAAAAATAAAAGGCCCTAAAAACACAACACTGTGTTTTATCTTTAAGATACTGTAACATTCAGTTCTAACTCAAAAACATCCATGCTTTATGAAATAATTCCCACTTGTAATTACATGCCTTGAGTAGAACTACCAATGTATTTGTCATGAACACTTAATATATTCAATAGGAAGTGTTGGGGATTTTTGATTCAACTACTGCTAAGAAAAAGAAATGTGAATTATTTAGAATATGACGTTCACATTAGATTTTATACATAAAGAGAATCACAACTAAGACTTTAAGTCTTGTGTTTTCTTTAAAGCCTTCAGTGGCCCAGTTAGCTCTACTATTATCCCTCCCTCATTGCCATTCTCTGAAAGACCAGCTTCCGGAAGGAGGGACTGTGTGCTCTGATATGACCACTAAGCCCACAGTTGATTATGTGCTAATGATAAACTAACTCTAAGCTAACCTCTAAGTGTACTGTGAGGAAACTGGGCCAGGCACCAGCACTCTTCCTCAGAGGCTGTGTGGGTTTCCATTCCCAAGCACACTTCTATTCTGTAGACACTTGTTCCTCATGTCAGTGATATTGCTGACTAACCTCTAGGTTTCCTGAGCTCCAGTTTCCTCATCAGTAAGTGAAGACTGACTAACAATGTCACATGACATTGATGTGTAAGCGAGAAATGTACTTAAGGCCTTTATAAATCACCTGGTACACAGGGAGTGTCATGAGCCACTGCACTTATGACTGAATTACACATAGGTCCAAAAGCGTTCTTTTAAGAAAAAGATTAAGAGTTTGTGATGGTGGTGCACACCATTAATCCCAGCACTCAGGAGGCAGAGGCAGGCAGATCTCTGTGAGTTCTAACCAGCCTGGTCTACAGAGCCAGTTCCAGGAGAGGCTCAAAAGCTACACGGAGAAACCCTGTCTGGAAAAAGAAAAAAGAAAAGAAAAAGATTAAGATTGTGATTTATCCATAACGTGCTTTTTTCTATAACATGACTCAACATATTTAGAATAATTTCTCTTTAAAGGACTTTGCATATGTCTTACTAGGCTCTTTCTAGGTACTATATAGATTTTACAAAAGTGGGCACGGCTTTGCTCTTATGAATTGATCACAAGTCCTAGAAACTTCCTCAGTTTTTTAAAATTCACTGCTACACAGTTTTCAGATTCTTTTGGATTTATTATATTGGCAATAACATGCAAATAAATAATTTGTGTCTTCCATTCACTTTTGCATGTATTTCTTTTTTACTTTAGATTGACTGGATGGTTCAATTTAAATAATGTTCAAATATAATTTTATTTATAAAATTTATTTATTTTACTCATTTAATGGGAAGTATCTTGGGTTCTTATTAATTACTCAACTATTCATAATGGAATTTTTCTATTTGAAAAATGTTACTTTTAATATTTCAGTTGACCTCCCGACACACCATTTAGTGCCTATTTTAAAAAAAAAAAGATTTAATAAAATTGTATATGAATGCTGAAAACTTCAAACTTTAAAACAATGAATATGAATCAAGTTTCATTTAATAATTTTAACAGGAGAAAATCATAGACAAGAAAGTAGAAGTGTAAAGAGAAGCTTTTTCTATGCTAGCCGCTTTGGTTTATCCCCCGCCAGCCGCCTGGGCTCTGCCGCATTGTAGTCCCCAAATAAACACACAAGACGCTGTATTAATTATGAAGCTGTTGGCCTTGCTTGTTTCTTACTGGCTAGCTCTGACTTAAGTAATTACCCCATAATTGTTAATCTAAGTATGTCTCTTACCAGAGAATAGTTCCGGGCTTCCTACCCCATGGCGGTTACATCTCGAACTCTCTTGTGTTTCTCCTTTCCAGAATCCTCCTGGACTCCTAGTCCCTCCTATCTAGATTCCTATTGGCTCAACAGTGCTTTATTAACAAAAGACTTCCCCAACAGTAGAAGGAAATAGAAATGGCTACCTTAATCAAAACAGCATTTCATTTTCCTGTATTTTTAAAAGGCTAGCCTGGACTAATTCCTTCTTTATGAGCTATTCCAGGGAGAGTGTCTAAAACATGGCAGTATACTCTTGATTTTTAGTTGCTTTCTGGCCTTTTGTTTCTACATGGAGACATGCCAGTATTTGCTGTACAGGAACAAAAACATCTAATTATTTAGTTACCCAAAATAATATTTTACAAATGTGACTCACAACAATTTCCCCCTTTTCATGTGCTCACAACTACTATATAATTTCCAGCGTGAGGCCTATGCCCACTCCTGTTTCCTCCAATCATGTCACAGCCCAGATGCTCAGCCTGATCTCCATTGAGCCACAAATTGACAGTATAATTCAGCTCACTTACTCATTTACACTAGAGCCATCTCCATGCTCCCTGGGTTCATCGCTCCATCGTTTCCTAGCAAGCTCAGTCATAGTCACCATTCCAAGCACCCTTCTCTTCTGGCACCCACAGTATCCCTCAATCCTCAAGCCCGCAGCATCCCTATACCCCCTGCCTCTGAGGATTCAGTGTCTGATCTATCAGGCTGTGGCAAGCAGCACTGTCCACAAGTGGTTTTGTCCCATTTTACAGGAAGAGAGCTGTTTCTTTTCCTTTGAGCTAACCTTAGATATAAGAGGAACCTCCACACTGGCCACTGTGGACAGCAAGAAATCCTACAGACTGAAATACTCTTAGGAAAGACACAGGACTGAAAGCTACTTACCACAGAGGTAAATCTTCTATGTAACTACTTGCTGTGATGAGAGCTTCTAGGGCTAAGGGGTGATGTAAATCTTGATCAATTTTACTCTTTGCCTTTGAGTTGCTCTGCACTCAATTCATAGTATAATTTACCAGATAGCATTCTTGGAGGCTGCTTTTAATTTAAAAAACTTCTGATATCTTTTTGTTGTACATGCAAAAGACCTCTGAAAGCCTCATGTGCTCAAAGTTAGGTCTCTGAAGCAGTGTTCAGAGCTGGGACACTGAGAGGTGACTGGATCAAGAGACTTCTGACCTCATCAGTGGGTTAATCCACTAAGAATTAACAGGTGACAGATGATTAGGATGTGGGACTAGCTGTAGTCACTGGGGGCTTACCCAGGGATGTATCGTAACCCTTTCTTCCCCTTTTCCTTTCTCTCCATCTTCCCTTCTTCTCCTCTCCCTCTCTACCCACCCCTCCTGTTTTGCTGTTGTTTTGGTTTTGGTTTTTACCATGAGGTAAGTAATCTCCTATTTTGTGTGTGTGTGGTTTTTTGAGACAGGGTTTCTCTGTATTGTTTTGGAGCCTGTCCTGGAACTCATTCTGTAGACTAGGCTAACCTCAAACTCACAGAGATTTGCCTGCCTCTGCTTCCTGAGTGCTGGGATTAAAGGCATGTGCCACCACAACACCCGGCTGTAATCTCCTCTTTTATAGGCTCCTGTTGCCATGGTGTTCTGCCTCATTTCAGGCCTATAGCAATAGAGCAGGTGACTGGAAACTGCCAAGGTATGTGAACTAAAATAAAACCTTCTTTTTTTAAATCTCAGGTATTTTGTTCCAGTGATGGAAGTCTATCATAGACAGTATTTTTATGATGAAAGTTCTCTCTCTCTCTCTCTCTCTCTCTCTCTCTCTCTCTCTCTCTCTCTCTCTCTCTCTCTCTCTCTCTCGTGTGTGTGTGTGTGTGTGTGTGTGTGTGTGTGTATTTGGTGTGGTGTATGGGAAGATGTAATGTCAGTTAAGGCATTCCCTTCTAAACAAGGCTATTCCTAAAACAGGTCTTTGCTGTGAGTGGTCAGGAGCCATATTTCCAGAAGCCTGTAAATGTAAATTCTATCACTTAAAGGGACACTTGGTGGTCACTGAAGCTTTTGTCATAACTGGAACAGGGAGCATCTTCCTTCTGTAGCATTTGAATTCACAGATGTTAGTAGCTATTTGTCAGCAGTGTCATAAAATTCAGACTAAGAATGATCCAGGCCATGGGTTGCAAACAGTGTGTGTGGGTGAAGCGGGAAGTGAAGAAGGGTAGACAGATGTTTGGTTCCTTAAAGCGAGCACAGCCATAGGTTCACTCATGCTTGTCTCTCACTAATCTCAGCATGATTTTTCTCTAGAAAAAATCAATTTTACATAAATCCTCTGATTGATTAGCATCAAATATATGTAATTACTCTATCAGTATTTAAGTAATTCTACATTTAATAAAAATTTATTTTCTTATGCTAAAATTTTTTATTTTTAAAATTAATTTAATTTTATTTAATTGTGTGTGTGTGTGTGTGTGTGTGTGTGTGTGTGTGTGTGTGTGTAATGTATGGAGATCAAAGATCAAATTTAGTGACCATTATCACTTTTCATCTATGATAAGATTTGTAAGTTAGAACAGTTATAGCTGGTCCACAAATTCCCAGGATTCTCTTGTTTCTACATCCCATCTTCCTTTGGGGTCACTGAGATTACAGAAATATGCTACAGCATCCAGCTTTACATGTGTTCTCTGTATCCAAACACAGGCCGTCATACTTGCTTAGAAAGCTCTTTATCCTCCAAGCCATCTCTCCAAACCCATCAGTAGATTTTTTTCTTGCACTCTTTCTCTTGTTTCTTGTCTTGCCAAAGGGTTGTTTTCCCAATACTTAATTTATCTTTCAAGCAACAGCTATTAGTGTTTCTTCATTATCTTAATATGTCTTCTATGCTATTAATGTGTTATAATGTGCTATATATTATTTATGATTTATTATAGCTTGCCTGAGGATTCAGAAATTAAAGCCAGCCAAAAGCTATAGAGGTCAGGCAGTGGGTGATACACACCTTTAATGCCAGGATTCCGGACTAAGAGGTAGGCAGATCTCTGCTAGTTCAAGGTCACACTAACTACACGAAATTGATCCAGTCCTAAAAGGAAACAGGTCATACAAAGATGATCTCAGCACCTGGGATCACACACCTTTAATCCCAGCACTAGGGTGGTGGAGACAGGAGTGATGTGGCTGGGCAGAGAAAGGAATAAAAGGAGGAAGAGACAGGAGCTGAGAGCTTTTGCCTCTGAGGATTCGTGGAAACAGGACAGCCATTTCAGCTGGGTAGAGGTAAGGTCTACTAGCTTGGCTGCTTTGCTTCTCTGATCTTCAGCTTGAAGTTTGAATCCCAAATATCAATCTCTGGGTCTTTTATTTTTCATGCTTCATTAATGTTGAGTCTTCATCAGACTCATTTTCCTACTATTTTTAGATATACTTGTGTCAAATGGAGTCCAAAGTTTATTACTTTCCCATTGTTTTTTATTTTGACTATATATATATATATATATATATATATATATATATATACTCAGTTAAGAACAAAAAGGTCATTCTGAGTACAGTCCTGTTGCATCACATGCTCTAATTAAATATCAGAGTGAAAGTTATTTGTCCTCTAATTTCCAAACTGATCATCTTTTTGTTAAAACATTCACAATGTGGTTGAACATGTGAATTCCAACACAACAGTATTTCTCAGTGTCTCTTCCACTTACTGTGGTCTAATGTGGAGAATGCAGACACCAGTGCCATCAAGGATTTTGTTCCAGGACTTTGGGAAGATTGAGTCCCTTTGCAGGTAGTATTGTGATACCAAAACTGCTGAGTGATGTGTCAAAAGGCAGATCCAATGCTGAGACAAGGCATCAAGTCAGCAAAGGACACTGGTAGATCCTGTCACTTCAGCAAGGGGGTCTCAGAAACAGAGACTTTGTTGAGAGTCACTTGTCAGCAAATTTTGGAGGAACTATTATCTTGCTTTTGGGGAAGAGAAAGGAAAAGTAGGTAGTGGAAAACTATTATTATCTGCCACAGCTATATACCAGCACCAAGGGATGTTATCATGTGACCCTGAGTAACAGATGTGAGAAAAAGTCTTACATGCTCTTTTTAGTTCTTGTATTCCTAGGGGAAGAGCCTGTCTTCTTCCCCATCCCCTTCTGGCTGAGGAAGGCAGTATGCAGGAGGCAGAAGTTGCTCCTAACCTTGAAATAAAAGAAACATATCAAAGATGGCAGAAACACAAGCCAAGGCACTCTGAGGGCGATTACTCAGTCAGAATCTTCTTAAGGCACTTCCTTTGACCATCCCAACTGAGAAGTGAGTGTCAAACACGGCCAAGTTGAAATGTAGGGGATAGTCTTCATAGAATTCCTGCTAAAAGACAATCAGAGAGTAAGGGCAATGGTGGAAGATGTGAATAACTGTATAGCTGCCTAGAAGATTTTTTTAGTTTAGTTTCAGAAAGAAGTATTTTATTATAGAGAGCTTAAGAGCATATTTATAATATTTTATCTTACTTTTAACAGAAACAGTGTTGTCTGCAAATAAGTACAGATTTTAAAAACACCAAAATATAAAACCAGAAGATCTGCAAGATTGGCAGCAGCTGCATCCAAGTCTATTTGGTAAACTGTGGTTGTACAAGAGAAACCAGCTCTAAGCATTTTGCTACAGCAAGTGCTTCAGGCGAGGTCTGAGAACACCAGCAGCATGTCACAGTGTTTACAAGCTCTCTCTCAGGTACTTGAGGATATCCGGCCTGACTCTTCCTGTCTCTGAAGCCTCTAGGAAGTCTCGTGTCCATTACACTGGAGGATATTCTGAAGTTTTAATGACAATGTAACTACAAAGTACTTACATGCACCAGACACATGATGAGTATCCAATTAACTCTGGCTATTATTTCTACTTCTTTACAACACTTGCCTCATTCTAGAACCTTCCCTTTACCATTTCTCTCAAGCTACGTAGATTTCCTCATTTTATCATTTCTTGATGTAGAAGAGATTGACCTGTTCTTGCCATTGAATTCTAACATCGTCCTTGAGGGCCCCTTGAGTTCAAGAATTCCATTTCTGAAAAATGATAAATCAGTGCCTTGCTTTATGGGAACTTAAGGCTCAGAATTCCATAAAACAGGTTTATGGTTAATGACAAATACCTGTGCTGTGACCCTGTCATTGTTAATGTTTGTTGCTATGGCAAACTGCACTAAACAATGATGGATTCACACAAATAGCCTAATGTCATTCAGAGAGCCTGGGACTTCTTTGCTTATTAATTCTTGAAGTCAAGCACCCTGTGCACCTCTTGGGTCACCACTCGATCAGGGTAACTGTTATTTCTGAAGCATCAGCTTAGCATTATTCTCATTGGTGGGGTTAGAATTTGCATACTTCTGCCTAATTCTTATGCACAGCTGTTGTGACGCTACGCCTTTCATCTTGGTTTACACCATTCATCTGGAATGTCTTAAAACCAACTATTCATAATAATGGGCTTGAAAGAACTTTGGGAGGGGGATGTTTGAGTTCAACATTTTAGCAGTGCCCTTCACTTAAATAAAAAGCTTCAGAGCTCTGGAAGACACGAACAGTTCCAACTGAAATGGATAATATCATCCATATGGGCTAAATGATTGCAGAACACATTTTTTTTACTGCATTATAAATCTGCCAGAAACAACAAGCAAAAGGTCATCAATATCTTCCTTACTTTTTGTTGGTTAAAAAAATAAACAAAAAGGATTGTCTTTGCCTCTCTTGTTTCCCAAATAAAACTAAATTAGTCAATGTTGTCACAATTTTTTTCTGTCAGTGATGTTTTTCAGATAGGCTGCAGAAAGTTAAATGAGAAGAAATCACATAACAACTTAAACATCTTCAGAGATAAAGATTGGCTGACACGATGAAGAAGTGACTTTATATAATATAGAATATAATAATAAATTACTTATTATCAAGTGACTTTATATTGAAATCAAAAGAGGTTTGTCCACAGCCATTATTGAAATGGAGACAAGGAAGTATAAAAATAGCTGAAAAGAAAGATGACCTGATACTACTAACCTTAGCTTTGCATACAACACTACACATTTTTTAAGCAAATTTCTCAAGGTCTTAGTACATGGGTCTCCTGATTATAAGTGTCAGAATCTCATCCAGCTGGCAAATAAAAAACTTTGTGATAACAGCACTAGAAAAGGTTCATTCACTGTTCAGTACAAGACAACCTCCAGCACTTCAGGTATTTTGTTCAAATGTGGCTGGATCCAAGTTCTTAGTTACATCATCATAAGAACATTTCCACACAACCACCAGAGTGGTCTTTACAGTCCTTTGTCAGGCTTTGTAGAAAGAAAGTGGTAACACTTCCAGTTTATTTCTAGGAGATGACCATCTGCGCGTGTATGCGAAGTAATTTCTTGACTGGGCTAACTATGGTGGGAACACTCACTGTAGATGTGGGTGCATTCCTTGGGCTAGGATCCCGGTCTGAACCAGAGGGGAGAGTCAGCAGAGTACAAGCATTAATCTCTCTCTGAATCCTGACTGTGGATCACTGCCATCAACAGTCCTGCCTTCCCACCCATGATGATCCATGTCTCCCAACCTGTAATCCAAGGCAAATCTGTCTTCCCTCTTCTCGCTTTTAGTCATGTCCCAGCAATGAGACAAGTAACCATAAATCTCCAAAAATATACACCTGATGACCTCAGGGTTTCAATCAGTAAAGTGAAAAGAACAATGGGAAAAAATATTTCCACTAAGTGTGTAGAATTTGATGCAGCCAGAGAAAATCAATACAACTGAGTTCTAATAAAACAGAGAGATGTTCATTATTCTGCTCTTTTTTCCAAAGGAAAACTGATTTCTGTCCTTCCTTCCTCTCTTCTGCACTGTAAACACAGTGGCAAGCCATCTTAGGTTACCACCAACTATGTGAACAATCCTAGGATGACTGAGCAATAAGACAGAAAGAGCCTGGATCATTTATAGCCTGTTTGAGCTTCCAGTTTAGTAGAAAAATAAAACATTTACCTTGGTTAGTCACTGTATTTGGGAGTTTCTTATTATAGCTAATCTCTAATGTTAAAAAATTACCATTTTGTCAGAAACAGTTCTATACAGAGCTCAATACCAGAAAATGTAACTTATCAACAATCTGAAACCATAGCCTAAAATAAACACCATATTTGCTCCCAGTCTATGAATGGACAAATACTGAAGCAATTCCATGCCTGGGTGATACAAGACTCCATTAATAGAAATGTTAGCTAAAGAAGTCCCCACTGGCCTTACCAAAAGTTCCCCAGACTGCACAGCAGTCTAAGATGCTTCTAGCAAACCTCCTTTCCATTCTTCTCCCTCAGGCAGAATTCTTTCATGTCCAAAGCTCTCACAGGTCTGCTCTCGAATCCTCCTTTCTGTCATGGATACTTCCTCTAACTAAATCTCATCTTGGCATTTACCTCTAAGTCTAATCTATCACCTTTTCCCAAAGTGAAGACAATGAGGTCTTCAGGTAAGAAAAGGACAAATGACAATCATCTCATCTAGTAGGAGAAAAGGTAACTTCCCTAAGAGTGTACTTTCTAAATCTCCAAGCCAGCTTTCTATGAAGTCAAAGAAGAAGGCATAGCCATCTTGTATTTGGTTTTCTCCAAACAGCTTCTTGATTATTTACAAATTCTCTTGTGCCTCTTGAAAGTTGCAAGGGCAATAAAGTTGCTCTCAAGATTTGGAAAGCTGCATTTTACTACAGTTCCAGACAAGTAGATGCAAAGTAAACTTCTATCATTTAGCCAATTCTTTATCTAAACATCATGGATGCTTGAAGTCTTAGCTAAAGAAGGAGAAAAAAGGCATACAAATAGGAAAAAATAACTCAAAGTATCCTTATTTGCAAATTATGGTTGAATATATAAAAGACTTAAACTCTACTAGAAAAATCAAGTGGTTGATAAGCTCATTCACCAAAGAGCAAGACACAAAACTAACACAAAATCAGTAGTCTGCCTATATACCAACAGCAAACATATGGAGAAGAAAGTATAGAAACAATACCATTCATAATAGCCTCAAAAATATCTTGGAATAAATCTAACCAAGTGAATAAAAGACTCATATAATGAAAACTTAAAGATGTTGATAAAGAAAATGAAAAAGATATCAAAAGATGAAAATACCTCACATGTTCTTGGATTGCTAGGTTTAATGTTATGGAAGTGGCCATCCTACCAAATGCAATCTGTAGATTCCATGAAATCCCCATCAAAATTCCAACACAATCTTTTATAGAAACTAAAGAGCATCATCTTAAATTTCAGGTAGACACAAAAAATACTCAGAGCATCCAAAACATCTTCAACAACAAAAGAACTACTGGAGGTATAACCATTCCTGATTTTAAATTACACTATAGAAATATAGTAGTAAAAACACCATAGTACTGGCATAAAAACACATATTAATCTGGACTTTGGACTCCCATCCAACAATGAGAGATGCACTCTCACCCCGAACTCTTGGGGGAGGGTCTAGGCCCTGCCCTGGATGAAATGACAGACTATGGACACTCCATGGAGGACCTCACCCTCCCTGGGGAAATGAGGGGATATTGGGGGGGGTTTGGTGGGAGCGCATGGGAGGCAGGGAGAGAAATGGAGAGGGACCTGGAATTGACATGTGAAGCAACCTTGTTTCTAATTTAAATTTAAAAATAAAAAATATATAAAAACACATAGTAATCAATGGGATAGAATTGAGTGCTTGGATATAAATCCATGTACTTATCCAATTTTTAACAAAGAGGCCAACAGTATGCATTAGGAGGATACAGCATCTCCAACAGGTGTGCTGGTCAAATTCAATGACTACATGTGGAAGAATGAAACCATAGCCTTATCTCTTTCCTTAAATAAAACTCAACTCCAAATGGATCAAGGATTTCAACAAGACCTGATATCCTGGAGCTGACAGAGAAGAAAGGACTGTGGTGGAGCAAGCATTAAGATCAACAATTGACAACTAGGAATGCATGAAACTAAAAAGCTATTCAGTAAAGAACACTATCATTTGAGTGAAGATGCAGCCTACAGAATGCAGAAAAATATTTACCTGCTACACACACCCACACACACACAAACACACACACACACACACACACACACACACCTACTTTGAGATTTCATCTTACTCCC